TTATATGAAGCAACAGGATGTAAATATCATAAACAGTATATTTAAGTGGAGCCCTTCCCCTGCCAGGCACTGATAAATTACTCAGAGCTTTCAACTGTGACAACTATGCCTGACACCCTCGGTCAATAAAAAGGCTCTAAGAGCATGTGGCAGCAGGGTGTGGTTTTGGCTCATCTGCAGAGGAAGCACCAGGAAAGTGGAGAAATAAACAACCCAACTAAACCACGTTAAACTGTATCTGACTGTATGTTGAGAATTCTTGGTATCAGCTTTGTAACATACCTAACACAAATAGCACCAGTTGCACTACACTTCCTATTTTCTTTCCTCAAAAAATATCAGCAAAACCCCACAGAGTGCGCAAATAAGTGAGAAAAAATAACAACTTTCAAACAAGTAAATGTTGGGTTTCATGTGACGAGCCATGCGCTTCATCGGCTTTCTGTACTTTCTGTTATTCCCGCTGTGACTCCACATGACTTACACTTTTAAGACGCTGATATTACTCAACCCTTTGATACTGTTTTAATACAGGGCCAACAAAGAGTTTACAGATGCCAATCTTACACCTTTATTTACCTTCAGTATGCTTAAATCACCTCCTTAAAAATTTTGTTTTTAAAGTCATAAATCTGGAGTCAAATGTAGTAACTAAAAAAAATATAAACGTACAGTTCTCAGTATTTTGTTGATTGTTGATTCTGCTTTATGATTCAGCGGTATAGCTTCCTACTTTCAATATTGCATGTGAGGGTTTTCAGGCTGTTCAATGTAACTCTGCTTCAAAAAAGGAAAAACATTGTTTTCCCCTTAAAAATATAAATAACATAATTCAGTGATAGTTATAGATTATTTATTGCTAGATACTAGGGGACCTTCAAACATGTCAGTGTAATTCCAGTATTTCATCACTGAAAGCACCGGAGCTCCACTCCTTGTTTGGCTCTAGAAATTCCCCAATAGGAGGAGACGAGGGAGCGTATAAAACTCCTGGCAGGCAGGTCAGTCAGACAACTGCTAACAAAGCTCACTGACACTGAACTGAACTACAGGTTTCAACAGGTAAGCTGACTCAATTTGTTGACAGTGTTAATGTGGAGCAGATTATAAGGAGGATCCTTTATAGAGTGTAGTTGTTTTTTGCTTAGGTTTCATTCATAGATTAAATTCACAAATTGGTGAGGCAAATGTCTATATTTCTTTAATGCATTATATAAAAATGTCATGTTTTTTTGGTTGAATAAGAAACAAAAATAAATAAAATAGCTGATAAAAAGGTAGAAGACATATTTAGATAATGTGTGAGTGAATGAATGTGAGTATAATAGAAACTGTTTTTTGGGCTTTAGCAGATCTTTACTCAGTAAGAGATGGACTTCAAAATGAGCTACATGGCTGAGGAATGGAGCCTCAAGATGCCCAAGGGACTGGACTTGAAGGTTTTACATCATCCAGTGACAATGAAGAGTGTAGCCCACCTAATCATTGCCGTGAACCGGTTAATGACCAGCACGTCAGGGTCAGTGCTGAGCACAGACTTCCAGGATGAAAACCTGCTGCCCATCAGGTTGAAGAGCTTTTTGGAAGGTAATCACACAGACAAGACTTCATTTAAATAGTGGAAAAACACTGAACTATGAAAATGTTAGAGGCACAATTGAATCAATTTAATAAATTCAAGTTACCTATCCTTTCTACTTTATGGCATTTTAGTTCTTTTCTACTTCATGTTTCTAACAACATGGATGATGATTATATTTTCAACTATTTTAAACTATTTAAACGTCTAAGTGTCACATGTAGTTACCTTTGCGGTCATCACTGCCTCCCTGCAGCATCACTGCATGGAGCTCCATGCTGCTTTCGACCAGAACCAAGCTCCTCTTTTGGCTGTCAGTCACAGTGCACTCAATCTCATCCCTGCTGGTGAACTGAGGTGGTGCACCTGTCCTCTCGATCACACTATGCTCTGGGACAAAAACAGACATGCATGGTTGAATATGGTGTTAAACTAGATTTCTGTCTACTTGTGACTAGGATGGTAAAATGGAAAGATACATTATTTGTGTATTAATCTAAAGAGAATTCAAAATAGCTAAACCTAATTCATATTTGTAACAGCCAAAATGATTTAATGCATGACTGTGAAAATGGCAAGGAAACTCTGGACCTGTTGGAATTTATTATATAACCAATTTATAACCATACAATCACCCTGTTCTCACTTCTGTATGTGTAACAAGCACAAAACGTGCTATTGCTATCTTTCCATCTCTAACAGTAAGCACTATAAACCGTTTCTATTGATATCTTTCCGTGTGTTTATCAAAAACTCCTTACGTCACAGGATGCTTCTTTCGAAAGAACCAGAGTCACAATGTGTATGGATGGAAAGCATTGTGTGGTTTTTCACTATCACACCTGATGGAAGTTTTCCTCGTTCGACTCACTGCCTACAAGCAACTGGCCTCTGAATTGAACTTAGGTCTCATTTTAACATAGGCGCACCCTTCTCTCATATAGCATCTTATTAAAGTTGGACCCTACGACAGATCCCACTTGTTGATTTTCTTTTTTATTCTTCAGTGATCCAACAACTTCTTCACGATTGTCCTACCATGAGAATATAGAGTGAGTAATATGGGAACAATGTTTTATGTGTTTAATTTTCGAAAAACGCTCTCCATTAAGTCCAGGCTCCTACTTTGTGTTCTTGCAGGAGGCAAAGACAGCAGTGCAGTTCGGCCACAGTGCTCGCATTAATTCGTCTCCAAGTCTCACATGCATTTAATAGAAACGTGCAACAATTTTTTACTAGTCCAATCATGTCTTACTGATTCTCACATCCATGAGATTAAGATGTTCTATCTGGTCCCTAACGTCTCTAGATTTCAGAAACAAATATTATCATTTACACCACTGTATTATCTTATTCGCGTGTACACCACGTCTTGTCAGAGAATGCTACTTTCAAAGCCATAGGACCCTACAGTCAAAATTCTTACTAGCAATACTACTCAATAATACTTATACTTTATTTGTTTCTGCTCTTAACCTATTATTAGAATGTCCTACTTTTAGCCAGTTAGCACCTAGAGATAGATATAAGCAATTATATAAGGTGAAGAAGAATTGACTTGTCTACTGTTACAACAGCAGGACACAACTGCTTGTTCTTGAAGTAGGGATTTTTCACATCTTCTCTTTATTAAACCTTTGATGCCAACTCGTTTCTGTATGTGAATGAAACACCGGACCTGTCAAATAATAGAATCCACATATACTAATTAAGAACTGAAAACGAGATGTGATATAAGAATGTGAAGTGTTTAAAACATATTTAATACCCCTATCCCTGCGCTTTGAATTTTGGTTAGTAGGATCGATTCACTCTGAAGGCAATATTGTTCAGATGGTTGTCCCAGTATGTATGCCAACTCGTTGTTTCTAAGCACCGAGCTACACAATGTTTACAGTTTACAGAATTGATTTGTTTATACTTGTTCATATCAATTCTATAAGTCACGCACTGACAACACATTATATTCATTGGATCAATTTAGGAAACGAGTATGTTTTTATAAACGATCCGCAACGCCGGGGCCACTTAGACATACAGGAATAAAAATACAAGGGAAAGCTTTTATTGCACATTGTCAAGTATATTTGGACTCACGAAATCACACTATATCGTGTGCGCACCGATTTGATGAGCTATTTTAACAAAAGTTTGACTGCACAAAATGAGTGGAGTATATGTCTGCCACTACAGAGTGAAGTGCAGTGATTTCCGTTACTCACGTGCTCGCTTAACCCCACTGTTTTTTTGGAGAAGCAATTTATCCCACGCTTGAAGCCATGAGATATCTCCTGTGCCACAGAGAAAAAAGTCAGACCTAAAGACAAGTAAAGGGAGTGTACAAGCCTCTATGGCTTACGTACCGTGCACAAATTGTGGTGGGAAACTAATCATATTTGAGTCAGATAAAATTTAACAATTTCAAGATCCTCTTGAAACCTCTCCTAAATTATTACCACACATATATGACATGTAACAATTTCAACCGTCCCACAAATACACTCCTATATTCACATTTTCTTAGGTGTGATTTTGACACCTTAAAGAAAGCATACATCATATATATCACATAGCTGAACAATACACACTCTCTATGTCTTTTATCACCTGCCCACCGATTCTAACCTTTCCAATCAAAATATTTGCCTCATGCTACTCTTTGTATTACTCGAGTGAGTGATGATTAGTCTTTGTATATGTGGCGTTTTGGATGAATATCCAGGACAGATATCTAAGTAAGTAAGTAAGGCATACTTGCCTTGTTAAGGTTTTGATAAGCACTTTCACCTTATCATGCCAGTTACCACAGCGCAAGGTATTCTCCCAGTTCTAAAAACCAACACTGAATTATAACCAAGCACAAACAACAAGTCCACATACATGATGGTTATTTAGACATACTCCGCTTCTAATCTATGTTTAGAGAGTTTTTTCTCACAGTTCGTCAGTTTTCCACATGCTATACTTTTATGTGAATCTCAAGATTTGGCGTTTACATGTGTGGGTAGGTTATAGTGAAAAATCTGAAATCCATCGCTATTCTTGCATGTTGCATTGCATTCTAGAATCGGGTGGCTATAATCCATTGAGTGTATGTTATGTGCTAGTCACAGAAGATCCTAAGGCAGAAGGCTAATGAATATCTTGAGCTAAAACAACATCAAACTGCGTGCTAATTAGAGATGCATTAGAGTGATAGCTCTTGATATATTTCGTCAAAGAGTTCCTAACATGAGCAAGCCATCATTCCGCGAGTAATGCAAACAAAAAACAACTACTGCATGGCTGCGGAATTATAAAGGATAAAATGATGTTGTTATATTGAATATGTTGTGATTTTCGTTGGCTCTATAGATAAATTTAACGGGAATTGATATGTCCATTGTTATATACCTGACTAGTGTTTGCATACTATAAGGTAAGACATGAAGATAGCCACCGCAATCAATCGAAGGCACAGTTTAACTTATCTAGCGAACACTATGAGTTACGCCAGAGACTAATAAGAAATTAGCTGCAAGACTCATCTCGGCTCTTCTAGATAGGAAGTACAGTGTTAAATTTTATATAGAACAAGAGACTAAAATTTTCCATAATGATTAAACGAGATGGTAGTACAAGTGGATGATAACTCTGCAATAATACGCTACATATATGGATAATATTAGACCTATTAAAAATATATTATTAAAGTCTTATTGTCTCATACGTCTCTCTTATATATATAATCCATTTATATTTAAAGATTAGACGGTAAGGTGCATAAATATTAGTAGAATATCTGTTGATGAGATTGAAATAATATAATATATTCCAGATAAAATACAAGTTCTCTTCTAGGGTTGAAAGTGTTTTACTGGTGTGAGGAGTTTGCTCACACGGTTTAAACGATGTAACGTCTTATTGTTGGTCCTTGACAATCAAATTTACAATAACATACAATAGACGTTTGTTCCCTTTTTGGTAAGGATATGCCTCATTTCTGTGAGGCATCTGCAGGCGCTGGCCTGTTTTTTTGCGATGAGAAACGATTTGTAGTCGATGGGTCAAGCGCTCCAACATTTATCCATGTCGTCTCGATTGAGGCTCAAGAATTCAAGATTATATATCTGAGTACTATGTCTAACATTGCTTTGACTGATTTGGTTTTGATCAAAACTTCCTACAAAAACTCATAATACCAGCGTGTTTTCAATAAATATGTAGTCTCAAATTAATACCAACTATGTTTATCTAGCAACAACTTTTTTTGTATCGAGGTCTCTCATCTTAAATATTTGTTTAATCTTTTTCACTCCTACTTTAAGCTCCCATAAAACAAATTAGATTATATTAATAAAATTGCAAATTTTTATTATCTCGCCATTTACTGAGGTTAACATATGTAAATTAAGATACGTCTTAAAACCCTTTGCTGCATTTAGTGATAATGTTTCACACAATGTCTTACAGTATATCAGATAATCAAACCCTCAAGCCCCTGAGATTTAGAAACCTACTCGTAGTGGTCTTCCAACTGCACCTCAAACTGTTAATTATATATATTGATGAGCATGTGAGAAAAAATGGAAAAGATCTCTATACCTTCACCACTCTTTAGCATATGATTAACTCACAAAATATGGGTCTCAAATGGCAATTTTACAGCATTTTTGTGAATAACAAATCAGGACTGATATTTTTTCCATGCTACTCTCGAGTGTGATATTTTGTAAATCAACGCCAGCAAATGAAATATATGTCTTCAATATACTGATATATAAACGAACAAGATTTAAAGTATAAAAATATGTAAAAATATATACTACAAATTAATGACTAGCTCGATAATCGGATCTGACACATAAATGTGCATCTCTCGATCGTACTGTGAAGGAGATAAATATAATCTCGAGAGTCAAACAACTTCGATGATGATACCTGTTATTTCTTAGAGCAATCTGTGCATTCATACAATAGTGTACAAAAAATCCACTACTTCCCATCATTTCAAAAATAAGCATTGAGCAAAAAGCATTTTGTCCATTTGGTGTTTCATCGGCGATTTTATTGAGTGCAATGTCAACTGGAACCAATATGAACTTCTCTAATATAAAGAAATAGCCAAATAATTGTAATTATTATTTTTTAGTTTGTTTTTATGGTGATCACTCAAGATGCAGGTTTTGATGAACCAGGAGTGGAATATAAAAAAACCTAAAGGGAGAAAATTAAAATTATTCTTTCTAAACTCCTACAGATATCTGAGTTAACAGAACTAGATATTTTATAAAATCAGTAGTTGATCGAGACTAATAAAAGATATCTAGTCAATCGATGTATGGAAATTGGTTTGCGATCCAGAGCCATGCATAATCCCTCTCATGGTCCTTGTGTTGCATTGGAGATTAAATACATTATTGAGAGGTAACTTGATGTTTCACTTTTAGGTTCATGTATGATATAGTCCTAAATCTTGCAAAACATCTTGCCGTGTGATGCTCCTGCTACGCTGCAGAAGCGTCCTGTCACAGACTTATACCACTGAATACGACAAAGGTACGAGGCGTTTAAGAATAGGAATATGGCAACGAAAAAACCTTGTGTGACTTCATGCAACCTTTCTTGTATAAGCAGACATATACTCTTTAGGTCAAACCTTTGGAAACTCTGTGAGTAAGAAGCCTGTGACATCTACACAAAAGGTACAGCTTGAATGCACGAACTGTTACTCACAAATCTGACAACAAAATCTTTAAATAATTCAGTGTCAGCGAAGGAATCTGAAACAGTTTGTTGGCTGGACAGAGATGCTGTTTGGAATCAGGCTAGTGTTGATTCCCTTTTTGTTAATTCGTAGTTTTTCTTTCACAGGTTGTTGCAGGAAAAGAAAACAAAGCTCCAGTTGACGGATTCAAGCGTAATATCACAAAAGGTCAAAGCGTGACAGCTCAGGCCAGTCGAGGCCCTGAAAAGAAAGCATTTGGTGTCAGTAACAAAGGAAATGTAAACGGCAATATACTGACGGCACAGCAGAACAACAGTCGTCCAGCACAGCCAAAACATAATCGAAACCCTTCGCTCACCAGAACATACAGTGTTGTGTCCTTCAAACCTCACCTGAATGGAGCCGGCCATGTCAACAAGCAGGCAAATGCAGGAATTCAAACTTCAGGGTACGGTGTTTTACTCCAGCCTATGCCCAGCCAAAACATAATAGCAAAGAGGAAAAGACCCCTCCTTCTCTCGTTTCAACCCCTTCTACTTCAATTTACACAAGTTCTAGTACTTGCAGTGTTTGGTTGTCCTCATTGCTATCACAAACCTATTCTACCATTGTCTGAAATGGGCGAGAAAGAGTGCCCTAGCAACATCTGACCTGAGGCCATAATACACTCAGAGAGCCAAGAAGCTGGATGGCATCAGAGAAGAAGGTGACAAGCACGGAATGGTATACGAAAAACTGCACTGCGATACTTCAAGAAGCCCCTTCTAAACACCAGTCTCCATACAGTTCATGAGCTCCACATTCACGAATATACCAGCTCAAAGAGTACACTATTCTGTCTAGATTCTATCGCGCCAGAGTTCTTGCCATGATGTCGAGGAGGTGAAGTGGTGGCTGCCTCTTCTCGGACAGTATTGCGACTTTGGCATAGGTGTCTAAGTTGTGGGTTTTGCAGAGGGACTCACTTAAGGCCATCGTAATATGTGTTCACTTTGTGTGTCACCTCACAATTTTCCAATCACCTAGTCACTCCCCAAGGGTATTTACGCTTTGGTGCGCCCCTATGTTTACAAGAGAACAAACACAACAGGCATCTTACTTCCTGCAGTGCATTCAGGTCAAGAGCACACAAAGCCAAAAGAAGCCCCCTACCACATCACCTCTGTCCACTGCAGCTAGCTACAAACTGACACCACAAGTGTCATCACATTGCGAAGAGACGTTTTCAAGGTCAGCAGCTCAAATGCCTCACAACACACAAGTGTACTTGTTTTTCGCTGGCATGTCCCGAGATTTTGTGCCATCGCCTATCGAAAAAATATTATCACATTCCCTTACAACGGTGGGAGTTGCCCTGAAGATCTTACACTAGGAATTTAGAAAGGTTCAAAGGTTCAAAAACTAAGCAGCACCACTCAGTAGTACTTCTAAAACCTGTCTAGGGTTTAGTCATTCTCATTCCATTTCTAAATTACCACGTCACAGGTATAACATATATGGGACGCTTCTGAAATTAAAGACCACACAGAGAACATACACATCTCTCAAGTGCACCGTGGTAGCGTCGTTTTATTTTACTGCGCCAGATACATTTGTGTGTTTAAGTGAGTTTTTTGAGGACTTACTACAGTAAGTCAATATGCGCTCTAGACATTATTATTACACCCTACAATCAAAAAATGAGGTCCAGCCTTAAATTGCAAACATGACGTCCCACAAAGTGGCACACAAAATATATTTAGAAATGCCATAAAAGGGCCTGAAGAAGAGTGCCAACATGACAATATAGAGTATGAGCTGGTTAGACGCTCAAATCGCTAAGATACACAAATTACTCAATTCATATCAGATTAAAAGATGTTAGTATATGTCGTTGCTTTACCATACATTATGCTAATCTCTGTCTATTATATGGGTTCAAGCCCCCCCCCTGTCCCCAAAGGTATATAGCCCTCTGATTCTCTCTATAAAGTAGAATTAGAACGAATGTGTCTAGCGAAGTTAATTTACCCATAGGAGTGATATATGGACTGATATAAAAGATGTACAGAACTGCAGAGACAGAAAATTCCGTGCTTCAAAATGCTCAGCTGTTACGTCACGCTTCAAAAACCTTGTAGGAATATGGTATTTGTTTTTGTTAAAATAAGATTCAAGGGAGCTCAGCTTGACACTTATTTCACCAGACAGTTCCCGCCAACCTTCCGAGCGATACCGTCTCTCTCCCACAGTAGTGTCACTATATGGCCAAACAGCACCAACCAATTGACTCAATTCACACCATACACCTTACTTTTTGAAGAACACATACCTCTCTAACTAAGATGTTCACAAGTGGTTTCTATCTAACATTTCACACATATTCAATATTTAATCGTTGCTTATGGCTCTCTCTGCCAGACTGAGAGGTGAATAGGAAAGACGTAGCAGAACTCTGTGGGCTGCCCAGGTTGAAAGAATGTATTAGTTAGCTAGAACACTATTATACCAAGGGTAACTGTATTTTACGACAAATGCATGAGCTGGTGCTGAATCATCGGTGTGCACTCAGACCCTTGTCGTATAGAGCCATTCTACGCGATTGGTGGTTACACATTCAGACAGTAGGTGCAGAGATTATAAGTTGCAACTGTGCTTGTATTTTTTTGACTCATACGCTGAGGAGGGGCCCCTAGTGACCTCAGTTTCTTTCTGTTAGCTAGATGCATTGGAGTGAACACCATATGAAGTTTATCTGAGTCCTAAACGTGACGTTGACCTCTGCGATTATTTCCAATGTAGTTCACAGTGGGATTAAGTTTGCCTTGTGACTTCGGCCCCAGTGACCTCAGTTCTTTCTGTATGTGATGAACACCAAAAGTTATCTGTAGGACGAGATAACTTTTCAGTATTAGTAACTGACTTTATTTGGCTTAAGCAGATCCAAATATAAAAACTATCATCTCGATCGATCACGGATCGATTTCTAGGTCAGTTTGTCACTGTAGACATTCCAAGCTCTGTTTTCATAGTTACATGTAATATTGCTCATTAATAACTCATCTCATTTTGACATAAAGGAAAAAACTGCAGGAATGGCGGGAGTCCAAAGGCATTACCTACAAACGTCCTCCAATGCAAGGCAAACCTCAGGTCAGGCGCACGGTCTCAGTGCCTCAGCCTTTCTGGGCCTCCATGACTGAAGAAGATGAGGCCTACTCCCTCATCTGTGCTGTAGATAGATCCCTGGCTGACTGCCTCAAGTTACTGAGAGAGGTGTGTGTGTTGTAGTTCTACAATTTGCGCATCTTCTAGCCCTTTTACTGCAGGCCAGGGCCACTACTAGTAGCTGTTAAAGAGTAATATGAGGCAGCATAATCTCGCTTACAAAGCGATGATCTCTGGAGATAATGATCCTTCTCGCTCTGACATACGCAGATTAATATCTCGATAGGACGCAGTACTCATGGTGGAGGTGGTTTGTGTGTCCCAGGGATTCCAGGGCTATGTTTTTTGCCCTGTGGTTTGATGTGTGTGTATTCTTGTGCATATGGCTAATCAGATAAGTCCAAACTTTTCTATTTAGATTCCTGGCTTGGCTCACCCTGTGGGAGGAAACGACTACCAATATAAGTGATGCGTCAATTTGCTAGAAAAGACACCCAGAAGAACTTTATAGAACTTAGAAGAAACAGTTAACCAAACTGCCCGAGTGTT